TAAATAACTACATATTTCAATCTGGAACCTAGTAAGTATCTTGTTGCTTTTAGGGTCTTTACCTAAATTTGCACTTCATACTTATTTCTGCTCCGACATATCATAAGCAAATAACGAATCTGGTACTTCAGACCATTCTTCCTTATTGAGGTATAACTGTTTTGACTGAGTTAAAGATTTGCTTTTAAAATTGATTTAACCTACTGAAGGAAAACGGTAAAGGATGGATCGTAGAAGGATTGTGTCTGATGACACTTTGTACACTACTGATGAAACATTTTCACCTTCCTATTGAAATCTCACCTTACACAATCTGCTCCACTTACTCCTCTTTTTCTCTCTCGTCTTGCCATTGATACGGCCAAGTCATCATTTACGCTTCTCTAAGCAGAATATTTACCCATCACTCGTAATTGCCTACGAATTCTCCAGACCTCTGAATATATACTACGTATACGAATTCGTACTAAAAACAGACAAAGAGACAACATCGGATATGGTCACATCACTATTACTCGAGGTTTGCAAGGAAGGAAAGTTACCTGCAGATTGGAAGAAGGCCTACCATGTCAAACTTTCAAACAAGGGCAACCTAAGTCTTTGAAAGAACTGGCACAGAATCATGCTCCTGTCCATCCCAAGAAAAATATTAGGCCGCATCCTCCTGCAGAGACTAAAAAATGCTCTGGATTCAAAATTATGACTCGAACAGGCTGACTTCAGGAAGAACAAATCATATGCTGATCAAATTTTAAAGCCCTACGCTACGCATCATCATAGAACAGAGTATAGAATGGCAGTCAACCCAACCTCAACTTCATCGATTTTGAAAAGCCCTTCGATAGCGTCGACTGCGAAGTGATTTGGCAAACGTTTCAGTACTACGGAGTTCCACAAACCTTTATCAAGCCCATTCAATAGCTATATGCTATATGATACTACACGCCAAGTGATTCACAATGGAAAGCTCAGTGGCAACTTTGAAGTGAAGACAGGAGTAAGAAAAGATTACCCCCTACTATCACTAATGATCTTTCTCACTGGAGTCGACTTGATCATGCAGCAAACTGTGAAGAGTGAGAAGATAGGCATACGCTATTTGAACGATGAAAAGACCCTAGAAGATTTGGATTTCCCCGACGATTGATTTCTAGTGTCGTACAAGCTCGGAGACATACAGGCGAAAACCAACAACCTAAAGGAAGAGGCAGAGAAAACGGACACTTCCTTCAGATGAACGCAGAGAAGACAGAGGTGATGAAGGCGCCCAAGAACAACAACAACAAGAAGCACCAATCACCATCAATGGAGAAATCTAAACGAAGATGTCTCTTTCATCTACATAGGCAGCACCGTTTCAACTACAGGCGACACAGTCACAGACGAGGATGTCAAAGACAGCCAGCATCCGAAAAACAGAACACAAGCCTTCCTTCATTAACCTGAAACCAGTGTGGAGAGCAATTGCACTGCACTGCACTGCACTGCATTCCATTGCATTGCATTCCATTGCACTCAGCATAAAGCATCGAAAACATCCACATTCTCAACACATTGTCAGTTAAGCAAATTAGTGCTTCCATGTGATGGTTGAGAGACTTGGCGTGTTACCAAGGCACTTCCAACATACTACAGTTATTCATCAACTACTGCCGCCTACACTCACTCCATACTGACACTGAAGATCAGATGGATGACCAGAAGGAATAAGCAACAAGGAACTCTGGCTGACTGGCAACGAACCAACGAAACGAGAACCTATTGCTCAACGAATCTGTAGAAGAAGGAAATGCAGATATATTGGGCATGCACTGAGAAGACCATTCGAAGACATCATGCACCATACACTCGAGTGGAACCCAGATAGGAAACGGTGAGTTCGGTGTCCGAGGTGAGAGTGACATTGAGGAGATGGTATGAGGAAGAAGTGAAAGCTTCTGGGAAATGGTGGGGCGAGGTTGAACATATTGCAGAGAACTGGAGAGTGGAATGGATACGTGCTGCTGAAGTTGTATGTTCCACTAGGAACCCAAGGGTGCAAATAATAAATAATGGTATAATAATTAGATTTCGTACAAGTTCCTATCGTAGTGTATGTACTTCATTTCGGATAAACTATCCAAAATACGTACCATATTATAAACCAATGCTGTAGTTCTGTTGTTCATTCACCTTTGGCATTTATGACAGTTATGTATTGCATGTTGGGAGTAGATCGTTAAGTAGCCTTAAAACGAGACATTTTGCTTATCGCCACGCCTTGAGAATGAGGAAATTCATGTTCCACTGATACTTTCAACTTGCATCATTCAATGAAGTAAGAGATCAGATCACTGAGTTATTTAAATCATGTTTCGCCCTTTGTAGGACTGCATTACGTACACGAAGTTATCATCAATGTCCTAATGATGTTGTGGTTTAGTTCTTAGTGATCAGTAGTGTCAATTGACCGACTTCAAAAAATCTGGCTAACTGGCAACGAACCAGCGAGTCAAGAATCTATCGCTGAACAAATATGCACTGGAAGGGAGTGGAGATGGATTGGGCATGCACTGAGAAGAGCAACTGGGGATATCAGGCGCCAGTCCAGGTAATCAAGTGGAACCCAGATGGGAAACGACGAGTTGGGCGATGGTGTTCGAGGTGACATGGAGGAGATGGTGTGAGGAAGAAATGAGAGGTTGTGGGCAGTGGTGTATGCAGGTTGAAAAGATTGCAGATAACTGGAGTGTGTAATGGAGTTATTCTGTTGAATCCCTATGTTCCATTAGGAACTCAAGGGACAAATAACCAAATAATAATAAATACCATTTTGTAAACTTTCAAGAATTATCAATTTGACGCTGCTTCTAACTAGTATCCCTAATGTTAAATCCATTATATGAGGATAATATTTATGATCATCTAAACTTTAAGACTCTGTATACGCTGAAAAGTGATATTTTCTTGTTCGTTTCATAACTAGCAAGATCTTCTTGTGTTTTTAGGGTTAGGGTTTAATGACATTCCATCTGTACCATTCACGATTCATAGAATCTTGTAAATATTTCGACATATATCAATGTCGATAACGCTATTAGAAGACGAGGATGATCTGAACAACATGTGATGTATTTGTGCAATACATTTCGAACAATCTGATCACACATTTACTTGTCAAGTCAATTTATATATGAAAATTAATGGTCATATATAGTGAATATGAAAAGGTTGTGACACTAGTCTTGGTAATATAATCAGATTAGCAAGCCTTACCAAGGTAAATTAAGTGGGACAACAAATTGTTTTTGTACACACAGCTGGGGATTAAGTTTACGAATGGCTAACGTTTCGGCCCCTGATTATTACTGTATACTATCTTAAACGCTGTTTTCGTATTAACCCTGTGATTCATTTCAGTAATATGTTTTGCTATAATGACGGTGGATGGCTGTCACCTGCACTTATCAAAGTTTGTGTGTTAAACTGTTTTTCTAGCCATTTGGGGATGTGTGATAGTTGATGACGTACAGATCGAATGGTAACAAAAAGGTGTTACGTAAGATTTTCAAAACGTTTATAAAGTGTATATAGATTTAAAAAGGGCTGAGAAAGTTAATAAACAATCAAAGGTGATTAGGTAATAGAAATGAGACAATAGGTTAATTGGAGCAAATTGAAAATGAAGGGCCAAAAGGAATGCATCAAAAGTTCTATCCTTGAGCATTTAATCTATTCCAACCATTCAAATGAACCTAAACAAGGATTTCAAGGTTTTTTATCAAATTCACCCAAACACCTCACGTTTCCTCCGTGTTCAGATTCTAAAAACAGCAGAGGCTTTGGCTATCCATGAACCGAAGCCTTCCTGACTTTTGTGTGTAAAAGAAGTATGTACAGTCTTTGTCTCTACCTTGGCCTTAATTTATTTTAGTATTGGTGCGCTTTGTCCTCTTTTTTCGTTTTTCACCCCTTTCCTTTTGTACTCTTATATCGTCATTATCACTCTGTTTTTTATATTTAATTGTTTCCTGTGTTATATGATCATTTGATCTTTCGAATAATCGCAACTTTTAACAAAACATTTTCAATTTACTCCAATTAACCTGTTGTCTCACTTATATTACCTAATCACCTTTGATTGTTTATTAACGTTCTCACACCTTTTTAAATCTATATACACTTTATAAACGATTTAAGAGGTCTTACCTAAGCCGTTTTTGTTACCATTCGATCTGTACATCATCAACTGTCAACAGTATAATTATCACCACCATCATTATTATTGTTTCAACCCACTCACCCCGCCCATTATTTCAGTTAAATCTTCCTTAAGGATTATAGTCTTTAAATATCATATCAATGTACTTAGGAATGTACAGCTTGAGAATGAATTCGTTGAAAAGAGTACTCTTCATCGAATACCTTGTTTTTGATGTTCACAATAGAAATTATGAACGTACATATAATACTAACTCAATAATTCATGAGATATTGCTAACAAATACAGATTAAATTAAATTTTAAGGGAGTTGTGGAGATTTAAAATTATTTCAAGTTGTTATTCATCGAAGACTGACATCAGTTGGAGGAACAAAGGAAACCTGGGAGCACTGGACAGCTGTTTCGTCCTAGTATGGGACTCCTCAGCAGTGTGCACCCACGACCCCACCAGCAGGTCTTGGTAATATAATCAGATAAAAAATTACCAAGGTAAATTAAGTGAAACAACAAATTGCTATATCGTGAGCTAACAGAAGTTGGAAATATGGAGCATTGGATTCTGACCCAGTGACTAGCTCAATGGTAACGCGCTGGCCGCGGAACTTGAAGGTCGCGGGTTCGATCCCTGCTGGTGGGGTCGTGGGTGCACACTGCTGAGGAGTCCGATACTAGGACGAAACAGATGTCCAGTGCTCCCAGGTTTCCTTTATTCCTCCAACTGATGTCAGTCTACGATGAATAACAACTTGAGAAAGATTAAATTGTATCTTTTTTTCTTCTTTCTACTATTTTTATAGAATTCATTCCAACTGCAATACAAGATGTTGCATCCAGAGCAGTGATTTTACCACAACAATTAGCACAACAAGCTACAGATAAATGTTGTATAATGTAACTTACATTATATCAGATTAAACTGTTAACATTTAACATTGATTGTTTTATTCACTCTTGAACATTATATTTTCTTTTCTGTCATTTATGTGTAATTTACATGTATTGGTCTTTAAAAGTAAAACAAAATCAATTTATAACTTGATTTATCTTATACTGATAATCAGTAATATTGTAATGTATTTTTGAGATGAATGAACTGATATCAGTTGGGGAACCATTGAAAATTTTGGAGTACTAGATAGCTGGGACTCCTCAACAGTATGCACCTACGACCCGACTAAGCATTGAACACAGGACCTTCACGGCGAACGCGTTAACCATTCAGCCAGTGGTTCACAATTTCCAACTTCTATCAATTCACGACATAGCGCCAACTATCACCCAAGTTCTTCAGTAAGCATCCACTTCACTTCCGACTGGTTGACCCCATAGGTCACGGCTTCTCATTAGAGCTTTCTGATATCCCTCTGGAAGCAAGTCACTAATGAGCACTATACAGTAATGTAATTTTGAGATGAATCGGAATTTTTGATTTAAAAGTAGTATTCATCATTCCACTAGTAACCGAATAGGTAAATAATAATATAATAATAGTAATGTATTCGTTGTATTTTCATGTAGTTGAAGACTGCTCGCAAACTATGTTCTTCTAAGAGTTGAATTTTGAGGAGGTTGTGGGGATTTAGAAATATTTCAACTTGTTATTCATCGTAGACTGACATCAGTTAGAGGAACAACGGAAACCTGGGAGCACTAGAAAGCTGTTTCGTCCTACTATGGCACACCTCAGCAGTGCCCATCCACAATCCCGCCAGGGTTCGAAACCGAGACCTTCACGTTCCGTGGCCACCACATTACCATTGAGTCACTGGCTCGAAATCCAATGGTCCATATGTCGTGAACTGACAGAAGTTGGAAATATGGACCATTGGATTCTGATCCAGTGGCCCAATGGTAAAGTGCTGACCACGGGACCTGAAGGCCTCGGGTTCGAACCCTGGCGGAGTTGTGGATGCGCACTGCTAAGGTGTCCCATACAAGGACGAAACAGCTTTTCAGTGCTCCCAGGTTTCCATTGTTCCTCCAATGATGTCAGTCTACGATGAATACCAACTTGAAATGCTTCTAAGAGTTACTGAACTAAATTGACAGTTCTGAAGTAAACGTCTCGGTACAAAATATTGAGACCTTAGAGTAGTTCCATTCCCTAAAGTGAAAATTACCATTGTGACTACCTTAGAAAGTGGTCGTTTGGCAGACTGGTATTCATACTGGGTGATGAGTGAAGGTGAAATGAAAATTTTGACCGCGGTGGGATTCTAACCAGAGACCATTAGGCCTCCGACCCGGTGCACTACCAGTTCAGCTACTAGACCCAACTGCTGACCGGATCAAGTAGCCACAATTGTCATAAATTCATATGATAGTCGGGTCTCGTAGCTCAGCTGGTAGAGTACCGAGTCAGAAACTAATTGGTTACTGGTTCGAGTCCCACCGCGGTCCAAAATTTTCACTCCACCCTCAATCATCATCCGCTATCAAGAGTGAAAATTAACATTTCGAAATACATATGAGGTCAGTTAAAGAAACAGTTTTCCATCAATGTCTATAGTTCAAGAGAATATAATGTCTTCTGAACATCCTTTTCTTCTCAGTTTTTCAACATCCCATAAAAGGTTCTTAAATAGCATATTTGGTTATTTCATTTAATTTTTCAATAAAATAGCACTATAGTAATCCAGTAAAAAAAAGTAAATAAAAGTATATAACTGCTAAGTGAAACTGTAAATAACTAGGAACCTACAGAATAAAACAGAACTTCCTATCAATGACAGGTTTGTATTTCGTAGCGAAGAATATACCAAAATGGACAAGTATGGAATGTAACATATCCTATGAAATTCAGTTTGATAATGGCAACAGCATACATCACATGTACAGCTTCTTTTGTTATCTAGTTACTTGAGTAACTGATCGGCTTGTTTATTGATTCATGAGGGCTGCGAATAAGGTTTAAATGGAAACTCTGTAGACATAATATCATCTTTTACACCTAACAATAATGAGCAGGAAATATGAACTTTGATTTGTTAATGGAGGGTAACTAACTTGATGTTGTTTAATCTTATGTGCTGATGGCATTCTATCCATCATTTTGCAATGTGGCCACCAGACTAGGCCGCTGAGTATCGCGATGCACTGTGGCAGATATTAGTTGGGTGGGGACGATCAACAGGAAGCCCTGGACCTATGTTTCATGCTGGTTGGCACTCGTCAGCAAAGCGTACCTGCAACCTCGATGGAACTGATGTCCCATCTGAGATTCAACCCGCCTCACCTAGTGTTGTAGTCAGCGACGTTACCACTTAGCCATTCAAGAAGATATTGACCTATTGTAGGACTGGATTAGATACATTAAATTGGTCACTGGAGGATAACCAACTTCATGTTGTCTAGTCAGGTAGGACAGCAGTTCCATCGAGGTTGCAGACATACTTTATTGACCTGTGCAAACAAGCATGAAATCTAGGTCCACGGCTTCCTGCCGAATACAAAATTTCATGCCTTGCTTTTGTATCGGATGTATGATTTCGGTCGTTTCGCAGTCATTTCGAAAACGTACATCAGTCAACTCGAACTACATCCATATGTAGAACTTACTGCTATTTAACTGAAGATACCAATTCTCTCAAAGTAGTGCATATTAAACTTGTTCATTCGTCAGAGAGTTAATTCTATAGAACATGAGGATAACTCATAGGTAACAAAATCAATCTGAAAAACCAGTGTTTTCTTGACTACAATAACTGTAGCATCGGTGGAGGTAACTTGATGCTGAAACTAGAGGAGGTAACCACTGAGAAAAGTGAATGAATAACTACAACAGTACTACTATAAGTTACATCAACAAAATAACGAGTAATAGGTGATAGTAAACAAATAAATAAATTTCAAGATTCATGGGGATTTTATTTATTTCAGTTGGAGGACCATCGAAAACCTGAAACCACTGGAGAGTTGCTTCGTTTTAGTTTGGGACATATGAGTAGTACTCCACTAGAGATTTAGCTATGAACCTTCAACTGTCTTGGAAGATACACTAACCAATGGGCCACTAGGTCAGAGTTCAACGGACTACAGATTCTTACTTCCATTAATGTCAGTCAGTGATGAGTACTACCTTAAAAAACAATAGAATCCCCATAAACTTTAAACTGAATTGCTGTATAATGTTCATTGGCAACATGACTTAAGATAGATATCCAGAAATTCTTACCAGAAGTCGTGATATGTAATGTCACCCAGTCGGAAGTGAAGTGGGTGCCGAATAACGATCTTAATGGGCATTCATGCTATACAGTGAGCTGACAGACGTAGAAAACAATGAATTCCAATCTAATGGTTCAATAACAACTTGCTCGTTGTGAAACGTGAAGGTCTTGAGTTTGATCTTTAGTAAGGTTGTGGGATTACGCAGCTGAGGAGTACCATGTTAGGATGAAACAGCTGTCCGTTGTTCTAAAGTCTTCTACGATTCTCTAATTCTTGATGAATACTCATAATCAACTAGAAAGTAATAGATGTAAATATTTCATCTTCTTCTTTAGAGAAAACATTTTTCCATGTCATTTGCTCCTAATGTTAAAATAACTTCACTGTATTTATTCAGTACAATTTATGCTTTACTGTTTTGCTTTGAGTAGAAAAAAACTTAGTAACTAGGCATTCGTAACATATTTCCCAATCATCCCAGTCCATAGGTTTGTGTACATTCATTGACTGATTTCCCCTTTTTCCCGCCAAGGCTTTGTCGCACTCCTACATTACTGACTTGGTGGCAACATGAAACATGACCTATGCTACATAGTTAACAGTGCTGAAACTCTCAAGTCTTCTCACGTCCCCTATCTTTAATGGAAGTGTTATAAAGCCATATTGCAGAGCATAGTGAACTGAAGTTTAGTACACTCGGTGCTTATTAGGCAGTCCCATATCAAGAATGCCAAACTACGGCAGAATTAAAGACAACCTATTTTATCGGTGAAGTTTTGTCCATCAATAATCCATTTTAATCAACCTCGATTTCCAAGTAACTGAAATCGTCAACTCACTGGACAACTTCATCCTCTATAATCAGATGAGGCACCAACACAAACTAGTCACTAAGTAACGATTGACATGTGCATGTTTGAATTGCATCATTAGCAATTCAAAACTACTATATGAGGTGGTCAAGGGACCCTACATTATTTTTGTACCCACACTAAACAGGACTATGTCGTCTGAGTAATTCTAGTTTACCAAGAAGTATCCAGTGACAAGGAAAATTACTGAAAAGTCGGACGAAGAGAAGTAGACATAAACAAATACGTCAAGAGATGACATCCGCAATGTACAACACTCGATGTACTCAAATTAACTGATCCATTATCGCTGACTCTTACACACACATCAGTGGGGAAGTATAAATTCCAAACCATTATCAAATACTGGGTAATACCATAACATGAAGGCTCACAAGGACTTCACCTTCAGAAGTACGCCCAGTATCGGTCGTGCGTAAGCATGCCCGTGTTCCGTAACTCGCGAAATTCGAAACTAATCAGAATGCCGTGTTGTGACCATTGTAAGGTCATTTCCCGCCATCTTAGTAGGCCATGTTGGACGATTGGTTTCCTGCTAACCAGTTTTGCGTCGATTTATTAAAGTTGCAGACGTTGTTGCCGTTCCTATGTTATGAATCTTGCTCAGTTATGCCCCGTTTATGATACTGCCTTCGTTTGTTGCCTGTTTCGTTAACTGTTTTTATTGTTTGCAATGTTTGGGGACACAGGTTAGTTATAAAAAGAGCGTTTTGTGCATATTTGTTTGTTGAATTCTATTTCTTCATGTTGTGTTAATGGGTTAATGTAAATTTGTCCGCGTTATGTTGTTCTTGTTGTGTTAGAAGTTGGCTAACCGTTAAAAAAGCCGTGATACTGCCTGTGGTGCCCCTGA